TTACAAATACAAAAATAAGACAGGCCTTGCTCTCATAGATCTTGCCAATCCTAATAGAGGAAATAACAGTCATAGGCCAGTGATGTCCATAAAGGGTGTTTTGGCCTGGGGATTCCCAAGCTTTGTGAGTGAAGCAATGGGGCAAGAGATATTCGTGACTTTTACCATGGCAATGGTAACTGGTGGCAAGATGTCTAAGTAGACCCAGATTTCCTGGTCTGGATGGCGTGTGAAGCATGGTCTGGGGTTGGCTAGATACGGTGAGTTCCAAGAGTTTGCCTTCCTTAAGTCCCCAATCAGTAAAGCCCAATCCCACAGCAGAGTTCCAAAGCTAGATTTATTCCCCAGAGATGTGGGAGATTGTCTCTGGAGTTTACTTTTGGGCTGTCGCCGTTCCAGAGAGGGAGAAGGAGAGGAGCTGCAGGGCAGATAATAAGATGCCTAAATAGGTTTGGGTTCTGACGGCTGGGTGGGATGTCACTGAGCCCAACTAGATATAATTGTGATTCTATGATTCTTTCTATGTAGCACAGGGATATGCATATAATAGAGGCTTATAAATGCTTGTAGGCTTGGCTTGTAAGTGCAGAAACTGTCCTTTCAAAGATGAAGTCATAATTAGCAACTTTGGGACATATATCTAGTAGAGGGATAAGGAAGTCAATGAGTTTGTCCTGTGAAGTCACTTTTCTTGCGTGATTCCAAATTGATACATGCAATAGCTGGATTTTTTTTTTATTAGTTTTACCACTGGAACTTTCTGGCTTCTATCTTTGTCTCAAAACTTTTTCCAGTGCTCCAGGGGCCATCCTAGGGAGCAGACTTGGGCCACTCACTTCCCAGCTGCTCTATCCCTAACTACCATCTCGTACCTCTTGATTTGATGGGTCATACTTCTATCTGTTCCTGCCTGCTCCCAAATACATCACTACTTGCTATGAGGTTGCACCTTGAAAAGTCTAGTCACCTGCTTCCCTCAACAGAGCTCTCTCCAGCTACTGATAGACTACGTGAACTCATTTCTCAATGACTAGCATCTTCTCACTCCCTCCTAGCTACCAAGGTATAAACCCCATTTACAAAACTCACCTACTGACTCCTTTGCTCCAATACCCCTCCACCCTGTCCTCCTAGCATGCCATAGCCCTTTCAGCTGTGCTCTCTGAAATGCTTGTTTCATTATTAGTGAACATCCTTTCATGCTAAACCCTTTTCTTTTTCTCTCCTGTCTTCCTGCTCTCACTCAGACCTGGACCCCCCCCGATGACACTGTTCCCTGGCCACATTTTCAAGTTCTAGCTTCACTTTTACTCATGCTCCTAATTCATAGGTGAGTGGGAATACTTCTTGTTCTCCTCTACTACCATCATTCAAAAACTTCTCTTTTGAGGTTCACTCAGTATAATCACTCAATCAAGATTCTGGTAGCTGTAATCTATAGACCCTGAGAATGTTCTCCCTTGTTTGTCAGTGAGTTCAGTGCCTGTCTCACAGTCTTCCATTCCACTTTCATCCTAGGGGACTTCAATATGTTTATGGAGACTCACTCAAATATCCCAACTTCCCAGTTTCTCAATCGACTCAAAGTAGATTCAAAGGTCAAAGGTGACCTACCTTTCCATTTGACCTCAGTCATGCACAGAGGTGATCATATCCTGGGTCATGCTATCACACACAACTGTTTTACATCCAAGTTCATGAACCCTGAAATTATTCCTATATGATCACAATCTTTTGTCATCCAATCTTTACCTCTGCCTTACAACTCCTAACCTTGTTCTTTGATCTCCCTGTGACGTCTATTCCTTCCACCCCTCACTTCTTTTCCAGGCCATTGCTTCTACACTAGCTACGCTTTCTTCCCCTATCTCAACCCCGTTGTGTCGCAGTTCAGTCCTATGCTATATTCTGGAATCCCTTGACTCTTTGCCCTATTGTTGATCTCAGCTTACCAAATCCTGACCTTAGATTTCTCCCACCATTCTCCTCCTTTGCTCCTATTCAAATGCTGCTGAACAGCCCTGGAAAAAATCATGACCCCATGCTGACTGGATTTACTATAAATTTACATTGCATCATGTCTACTGGGCTCTCACCGTGACAAGGCAATCTCTCTAATCAATTTACTATTCTACTCACCACGTGGTTATTATAAATCTCTGTGTCCCTCTTCAACCCTCTTACCAAGGTCCTCCCTACCTTTCAACTGGAGACCTCACCTCATATTTCATTGAAAAAAAATTGAGACCATTTGCCAAGAATTCCCTTTTCTTTCCAACTCCTCATCTCACATTTCTCAGATATATTATTTGACTAGCTCCTCCACTCCTGTCTCTGATGAAGAAATCACCCTTTTTCCCAAGAAAAAAATCCTCTGTGTGCACCCCTGATCTCATCCCCTCCTGTCTTCTCCTCCACATTGTCCCCACTGGCATCTCCATTCTTTCTTATCTTCAGTCTCTTCCTATCTCCTGGCACCTTCCTTGCTGCCTACAAACATGTCCATGACTCCCCCATCCTTGGAAAAATCTCACTTGATTTGAACATCCTTGTCATCACTTTCTTTCTTCCCCTTTGTGGCCAAACTTCTCGGGAAAACCATTCACACCAAGTACCTCCACTTCCCTTTCTTTCACTCTTTTAATTCTTTGTACTCTGACTTTCAACCTTATCATTTAATTGAAATCTATCTCTCCAAAGTTACCAATGATCTCTTAGTTGCCAAATCTAATGGCCTTTTTCCTCAATCCTCATCCTTCTGGACCTCTCTGCAGTCTGAATCATCATCTTCTGCTTGATACTTTCTTCTCTCTGAGTTTTCATGATACTCCTCTTTTCTGGTTCTCCTCCTACCTGTCTGTCCCCTCCTTCTCAGTCTTCTTTGTTGGATCATCATCCAAATCGTTCCCATTCTCTCTGGATGTCTAGAGGTTCTACCCTTGGTATTCTTTTTATCCTTTATATTAACTAGCTGGGTGATTTCATCAACTCTCAGGTTAAATGATCACCTCTATGCATACAACCTTCAGAGCTACATATCCAGTCCTAGCCTCTCTCCTGAGCTATAGTCCCACCTTACCAACTGCCTTTTAGACATCTCAAACTTAATATTTCACAACACATCCAAAATAGAACTTATTCTCTTTCAGCCCAGACTCTCCCCTCTTCTGACCTTCCCTGTTACTGTCAAAGGTACTATCATCTTCTCAGCCACCCAAGCATACAATTATCAGTGTCATCCTTGACTCTTCACTCTTACCAACCTCACATATTCAATCTGTTGCCAAGTTCTATCAAGCCTACTTCCACAACATCTCTTGTATACGGATCTCCCTTCTCTCTTCTCATATGGCCACCATCCTAGAACTCTCCCCATCTCCTCTAGCCTGGACTACTAAAATAGTCTAATTGATCTTCCTGCCTCAAGACCCTCCCAACTCCAATTCACCTTCCACTCAGTGGCCAGATTGATATCGTAAAGCACAAAACTCATGGCGGCATCCCACTACTCAATAAATTTCAGAGGCTCCTTATTACCCCCAGGACCAAATATAAAGTCCTCTGGCATTTAAAGCCTTTTATAACCTTGCTCATGTTTACTTTTCCAATCCCCTTCATGCATTTTATGGTTCAGTTTCACTGGCCTATTTAATATTCTCATACATGAGGAGCACATATCATATTTGCAAATGGTCATTTATAGTTTGCAATTATCTTTTTGAAAATCATTCATATCCTTTGACCACATATCTACTGTGGAAGGACTCTTGGTATTATATATTTCTATGTATTCCCAGCATATTTCAGTGATAATTGCCACAAATGTTTTTCAGCTTGATGGATTCTCATCTTATTCTCTCTTTATTGATCTTCTTTTTATTAATTCATTCATTCATTCATCTATCCATTCATTCATCCACTTATTTGTTTATTTATTATAATTGTATGGGATGTAAATTATTCTGTTTTTTATGACCAGAGGAAAGAGCACTGGATTTGAACTCAGAAGACCTTGGTTCAAATCCTAGCTCTGACATTTACTGCCTATGTAATATTGGGTAAGTTCCATGATAATCTATAAAATGAGAAGATTGAACTTGGTCCTGGAGTCTTGGAGGGTCTTGGAGATCCCTTTAAGCTCCCAATCTATGAGCCTATGATATGATTTTACCCTTTTTTGGGGTAAGGTATCTCCCCCTAGCCATAGTTTTGAACAGTTCTTCCTGTTTTCCTTTTTTTTTTAATGATGTCAACTTTAAAAATATTCAGATCCCTTTTGAGTTTATTGTGCAATATGGTTAAGATACTGGTCTAATCACTGGCATGGCCTATTCTTGATAGAGTCATGCTGTCTCTGTGTTATCACTGCTTGCTTTTCTAGATGTTCATTGAGCATCCCTTTCATTATCCAAATCAAACTCACTAGCCAATAATTTGCAGATACCATTCTTTTTGCCTTTATGAAAAATTGGAATGTTTGCCCTGACCCAGTCCTGTAGTACCTAGCTCACAGGATTGCTAAGGGGAAAATACTGTCTAAACCTGAAAACATGATTAATGTGAGTTACAGACAGTAGGTGTTTAAGAGGGATTGATTTGCTACAGAAATAAGTGGTTTCTCTTTTTCTTGCCTTCTCCCCATTGAAATCGCTTCTGATTACAGAACCAAAAGAGTGAATAAAGGGGACAAATGGAACAAATGTAAAGAGCCAAATCAGAGGAAGCCGCTGTGAACACTTTGGAGCTAATGTCCAGGCTGTGAAAGTTGATCTTGTGTGGTTGCTCAGATACCTTGAAACAGGGGAACGCTTTCATGTATATTGGAAGGTTGAGTGTTTACTGTTGAGGGGGAAGTGGGAATGGGTAGGAGGAGGGGTAATTCTAGGCACCGTTTACAAATAACTTGGCCTAAAGAATGCCAGAAAGCAAACTAAGGCAGAAAGTAAGTCCCTTGTTTCTGTCCTGCCATTTGTCTTCTGAGTCTCAACTCAAAGGGAAGGGCTAAGGGACCTGACTTCCTTGGTTCCTTCAGCTGTGGCCCAGATCTGGGGACAGGGAGCTCTTGTCCTGAGGAGACCTCAACGCGGGGGAGTCTCTGAGTCCAGAGAGGCAGCCTGGGGTAAAGAATTGAAAGTTATAGCCTTGGAGGAAGGACAACCGCAGGTTCAGGTCTTGTATCGGATATTTATTGGTTATAGGACTCAGAGAAAACTGCTTAACCTCTCAGTGCCCCAGGTCATGCCTTGAGGTTTTTTGATGCACGGGCAATGCTGGTCTAATTAATGGAAGGAGTTCCCTCGTGGAGGATTCTCTCTACATTGATGAAATCCCAGGTTTGTAAAATTACTCTCAGTCTTGCTCCTCTACCCCAAGCTTACGGTTCCCCCCTCCATGCATGCATGTCTCTCTGCTGACTTAGGGGCAAATTCACCTTCCTAGAATGTCATAGGACTTAAAGGTGGAAAGTACTTTAGAGGCCATGAGCCCCGTGGTGTCAAACTCAAATAGAGACAGGATCCTTGTGGGCAGCATATTGACTTAGAAAAACACAAATTAACATTACCTATGGTATTGTATTTTTATTTGTTTTGTCAAATGTTTCCCAATGACATTTTAATCTGGTTATGGTCCCTCCTGAGAGCCCTGAGTTTGACACTTCTGATTAGTTCAATTCCCTCCTTTTACAGTTGAGGATACTGGGACCCAGACAAGTGAAATAACTCCTTCAAGGTCATAAAGGTACGTGGCAGAGCCAGTTCTTCACCCCAGATCTTCTGAGTCCTAATCCAGTTGTCTTTCTACTAGACCTTAGAGGTCATCTGGGTCAATCCCCTCATCGAGTGGCTAAGGAAACTGAAGCCCAGAAACCACTTGTCCCATATCATGGAGGGAGAGACAAAGCCAGGCCTAGAGCCAGCTTTTGGCTGTTGCTAATTATCTCAACTTCCTTATTAGTCAAACGATGTTGTTTTGGTCGAGGCCCCAGGGATCTTGGAAAGGGGTGGGGAGCAGACAGTGTTGGCTCACCTGTTGCTTTATCCTTGAGAAAGGCCTCTCTTTCTCTGAATTTTGGCTTTGTTACCATGGACAGGCTTCTCTCTCTTGTGTTTGATTGCTGGTCACGAAGAGGGCACTTCCCCATGTGGGGCACGACTCCGGATCAAAACCTAGTTTGAACATGTCCAGACACACCTGAGTTTATTTCCTTAAGTCAACTCCTCTATTTGCTGCCATGCAGAAGGGAATGAAGCAGCCATATTGGATGGAATGATGGCTTATCTGCTAATCATGGCTTTATGGTGTAGTTCAATCCAGCGGGCAGAATCCTGCCCATCTGTGGGCCCACCCACCTATAGAGAATGACAGAAGATTCCAATATTATTATTATTATTATTTTTTTGACACAGACCTATGATTTCATTTTTGTAACGAGTACCAGTCAGGAAATCCCCTTTACCAATGTAGATTAGTAACTGTTCTATTATTTATGATCAAATACATTAAAATATTAAGTAACTATTTTGCAATTTATGGTCAAAGAAATTAAAATATTTAGCAACTGTTCTGTAATTTATGGTCAAATAATTTAATTAAAGTATTTAGCAACTGTTCTGCAATTTATGGTCAAATAAATTAATTAAAAATGCTTTTATTGAGGTAAAAAGCAGTCATTTCAGGAAAAGATGAATAAAACAACCTACTTTGAAAAAAAATCAATGAAAGCACCAGAACATTTCTTTCTTTTAAAAAAAAGTTTCTTACTTGACAAAGATTGGTCTTAAAAGAAGTGTTGACATTATAATGCACTGTTTTGCAACCTTCAAAAAATGCCCATCTTCCTTCCCTCTTTAATTTTTATTAAATTGTAAGCCCTAAAAACCAGAAACTAGGAAACCTGGGGCACAACATTGCCATTAATTCACTCTGACTTTGGCCAAGTCTTATTCTTGTTCTAAGCCTTAGTTTTCCTATCTGCAAGGTTTGAGGGTCGGGCTGGACCAGGGGGTCTTTGCCTTTTTTGAGATGAGGCCCTCTTTGGCAGTCTATTGAAGCCTATGGACCCCTTCTCAGAAGAACATTTTTTGCCTACATTAATAACTGAAAGAAACACTAATTTTTCAGTTAAAAGTTTGTCAGAATAAAGATGGAATTTTTTCCTACCCAAGGTTTCCTCATCTCCCCCAAAATCTTTCCACAGAACCCTTGTCGAAGAATCCCGGGCTAAGATCCTTTGCCCTAGATGATCCCCAAGGTCAAACATATTGTGTTCTATGTTCTATTATTCTATTGTCTAAGTCTCTTTCTTGCTTTAGCATCTTTTGCGCTGTGTTCTAATGTCTAGTGTCCTTCTGGCGCTAACATTCTACATACATTCTAACATTCTATGGTCTCAGTCCCCCTCAGCTCCTGCATTCTGTCTCCTAAGCTCCCATAGGGCCCTAACATTCTATAGTCTACCTTCCTTCAGACACCAACGAGCTAAGTTTTTTTCTTGGCAGTTGAATAATCCAGTAGGTTTGTAGAAGGGCAGGCCATGTTGAAATCATCTCATTTTTGTGCATAGATTGAACTGAGATACAGGGTTAAAGGGAGGCTTAACAAGCCAAGCTTCTCTTTACCATCAGCATAAAAGCGAACACTTGCAGACCCTATTTGCTTAAAGGCAAATGATAACTCTGAGGTTGATTCAGAAAGCACTGGCCTCCACTATTATTAGCCAGTGCAAATACCATTGGTAAACAGTTTGGAGCCTGTGATTAGATGAATCAGCATTTATTCACCCCTCTCATTATCAGCATATAAACAATGTCCCCTCTGAGCTCTGGCAGATCTCAGCAGGTTGGGAGCTGACTGTTCCTGTTTCCAACAGGAAGCGGGTGGATTCCACACAAAACGATCTTTGGGCTCACAAAGGGATGACTGGGGTACATTGTGCCAGGCCTCAATCTCCCTTGTTCTGTTTAGCTGTTTACAAAGCGCCAGGCCCCTTTCCCAGACATGATAACGTTGTCCAGGCCCTCACCACCTCTCGTGTGGATGATAAAGGAAGCCTCTTCCAAGCTGGCTTCCTTGACTGAAGCCGTGCTCTTCTCCATTTATCCTAGACACCACTGACGGCAGCCTGGCTCACTCAATGGTCTATTCCTTGAGCAGACACAGTAAGGAAGTCCTCATGGGAGGGACTGTGGAGAAGAAAAAGGTCATTTGTGTTGTGTTTTAAGGTTTGCAAAGCACTCTGTGTGTGCCTCCCAGGACCCCCTCTGTGTGTATGTGTGTGTGTGTATGTGTGTGTTTGTGTGTGTGAGACAGACAGAGAGAGTGAGAGAGAAACTGCAGGCATCATTATACCCATTTTACAGATGAGGAAAACTGAGGCCAAAGGAGACAAAATTGCAGTTATAGAGTGTCATGGGGGGCAGCTAGGTGGCACAGTGGATAGAGCACTGGCCCTGAAGTCAGGAAGACCTGAGTTCAAATCTAGTCTCAGACCAAACACTTGACACTTACTAGCTGTGTGACCCTAGGCAAGTCACTTAACTCCAATTGCCTAAAAACAAAAAAAATTAAAAAAAATAAAGTGTCACAGAAATGATTCAAACCTATGTCTACCTGGCTCTAAGTCCGACACACTATCCTCTACACCACACTGACTGTCTTGAAACACAGTCTTAGATTTATGGAAGGGATGAGCGAGGGTTAGCGGGGATGGCGGCTTAGATGCTATAGAGAACACAAGGCCTCCTTTTGCTGCTCTATAAAAGGAATGAGTTGGACTAGATGGTCCAGTTCTAAATCCTAAAATCCTAGGAATCCTTCCTCCTCTCTGGACCTTGTTTTCCCCATCTGTAAAGTGGGAATAATACTACCACAACTACCTTAGAGGGCCACAGGATCAAAGATTTAGAGCTAAAAGACACCTTAGAGGTCATCATTTTACAGATAAAGAAACTGAGGTATTGTGGGGACAAAATGAAATAATGGACATAAAGAACTTTGCAAATTGTAAAGTCCTTTAGCACTGTCAATTATTATTCTAATAATCTGATTTATATCTATTTTATATTTATCTATATGCGACTTTAGTACCAGTATTAAAATTTATAACGTCTTCCTAAATCACCACTTACTCTGTAGTCTTCCCCTGCTGAAAACCCTTCCTTTGCTCCATCCTTCTAATACCCTCTACCAATTTCCATGGCCTTTCATAAACCCCGTCTCCCTTACTCCTTCTCCCCTCCCTGCCATCCAGCTGTCACACACTTGGACCTCTGGTCCTCCCATCGGAAGTTGGACTCTCCTCCCTCACAGAAGGATGAGTGGATTTAATTCTAGACTCCCCTGGACTGGACGCAAAATAAAAATATCCAGACGTGGTCCTAAAGCAGGCAGGGGCAGCAAGAGTGTTGGACAAGGAGTCAGGATCCCTGGATTATAATAATGCTCAATCTGCCATTAATTCACCATATGCCCCTGGCCAAATCATTTCACATCACTGGGCCTCAGTCTTCTCCTCTATGGGAACAGGATAAGTAGGGTGCCCGTCATCGCTGTGATCCTGTCTGCTGCTAGGGTTGTACTGAAGATGGTGGCAGTGAGCCTACAGGAGATGGCTTATATCGTAGGACGTTTTTTGTTGTTGTTTAGTTGTTTTTTAGTCACGTCCAACTCTTCATGACCCCTTTTTGAGGTTTTCTTGACAACAATACTAGAATGGTTTGCCATTTCCCACTCCAGCTCATTTTACAGGTGAGGAAACTGAGGCAAACAGGGTTAAGTGACTTACCCAGGAGTTCAAATCCAACCACAGCTAGTGAGTGTCTGTGGTTGGATTTGAACTCAGGTCTTCCTGACTGTAAGCCCCATGCTCCATTTACCATGCCACCCAGTCACCCCAGGACTACCCTTGGACTTTTATTCAACTACAAAAAGCAAGTATTTTATCCACTTTTACAATAAATCCATAGAAGAATAAGAGCAGGATAAGTCACCTACCTTGGGAATGTTTCTATCTGAATTCTCTCTCTTTTTTTTTTTTTTTGGTGAGGGCAATGGGGTTAAGTGACTTGCCCAGACTCACACAGCTAGTGATTGTTATGTATCTGAGGCCGGATTTGAACTCAAGTCCTCCTGACTCTAGGGCCAGTGCTCTATCCACTGCGCCACCTAGCTGCCCCTGAATTCTATTTTTAAAAGGCCCAAAAAGATGAGAACAATAATAATTTTTTAAAAAAATAAATAAAATGATTATGTCAATGGACCCAGAAAAATGGCATGGACAAAAAATACAGTATTTATACCATTGATAATCAAATCTCTGATGCTGGTTAAGAAACATAGAGGTTGATGGCTGAAGCAGATTAGTAAGTCAAGTAGTCAGTAAGCATTTATTAAGCTCCTACTGTGTGCCAGGTACTGTGCTAAGTGCAGGGGATACAAAAAGAGACAAAAAACAGTCCCTGCCCTCAAGGAGCTTATGACCTAATGTGTATGGGGGGGGATGGACAATATGCAAACAGATATTTACAAACAAGCTATGTACAGGATAAATAGGACATAATTAACAGAAAGATGGTCCCAGAATTAAGTGGGATTGGGAAAGGCTTCTTCTAGAAGGTGGGATTTTGAGTGGGACTTAAGGAAGTCAGAAGGCTGAGATGAGAAGGGAGGGCATTCCAGACATGGGGGACAAGTCAGAGAAAATGTCTAAGAGCTGAGAAATGGAATGTTTTGTTCAAGGAATAGCCAGGAAGCCAGTGTCACTGGATGGAAGAGTTTGCAGGGTAGTGCAAGGTATGAAAAGACTGGAAAGGTGTGTGTGTGGGAGGAATAGAGCTGGCAGGTTATGAAGGGCTTCAAATGCCAAACAGGGGCTTGTGTGATGCATTGGAGCCAATGACTGAGTTGACTGAGTAGGGGGTTTATATGGTCTAAACTGTGCTTTAGGAAAATCACTTTGGTGGATATGGAAGATGATACACAACATACAGAAGCAAATGAGCATAGTAGCCTAGTGTTTATTAAAACCAAATATCTCAGCCAGTGGGGCAAAAACTCACTATTCTACAAAAACTGTTGGGAAAACCAGAAAGCAGTCTGTAGACCAACATCTCACACCATATATCAAGATAAAGTCCAAAAGGTTACAATGATAACTTACCTGAGCTCCTTCCTTAAATATTAATATACTTTTATTCCATCGTGCCACCCATCCCTGTGATCCTGAACCTTGGCTGCCATTTTTGAACCTCATTTTCCATTCCCCACCAACTGCTTAAGTATTCACATCCACTCAACCCAATCCAATTCTCCCACCCCAACCTTCCACTCTGACTGTCCCCCATGCATGGAATGCTCTTCCTCTTCATCTCCACCTCCTGGCTTCCTTGACTTACTTCTAGTCTCAGCTAAATTCTCACTTTCTGCAGA